ACTGGTCAAATTATCGTTAGTCTCTGCTGCTTCCCTTGTCCTGAATGGCCTTGTTTGTTGAAGCATCCTTCTTCAGTCTTCATGTTGGTTCAGATTTCTGTGTCAATTTTAGGGGTTAGAGCACATCTGGTGCACCCCTGGATTTAAACCTTCTTGTTTAGTTTTTTTTTTTTTTCTGTCATGGATCTAGTTCACCCATCCCATAATAGCTTTGCAAATCAGAGAAATGTGATGTGGGGATGACCTGAGTTTGGTCTTATTGAACCAAGCCAGATAGTTAATGTATGTCCTGGACTTGCTTTTTTGTTTTTGTTGATGCTCTTTTGTTTGTAGAAAATGTTTGAAGTTTTGTTCCTCTGCCATATTTGGGAACGAATTGCTCTCTGTATTCTGCTTATGGTTTCAACATAAAGCTGTAGCTCCCTGCTACTGATGCTCCTGAGAGAAAGCCTGGTGTATGTGGTGTGTTTGAGCCACTGCTGGTATTTGCCATTAGCCTCTTATACTAAAAGATGAGACATGAGTGGTGTTCCCAGGCAATAATAATGGGATATTTCAGCTGGTAAAACTACTAATGTGAGGACAAAGTCTAGTCTTCTGCTAGAAATATATAGATGGACATAGTTCTGCACCTGGTAGTGATGGAACACGGATGTGTCTGAAGATGTTTGGCTTTTTTCTACAAAAATGAAACTTATAGCCATAAATATATTTCAGCTGGTAAAACTACTAATGTGAGGACAAAGTCTAGTCTTCTGCTAGAAATATATAGATGGACATAGTTCTGCACCTGGTAGTGATGGAACACGGATGTGTCTGAAGATGTTTGGCTTTTTTCTACAAAAATGAAACTTATAGCCATAAATAATGATAGTTCATAAATAATGATAGCTAAGTTGGATAGTTGGATAACTCCTTAAGTTCCTGTGGAACTTTTGGTGTTTCAATTTGTAGCTGTTACCTCTAGTTCTGTCGGTGGCCACCACTGAAAAGAGGCCAGCACCATCCTCCTCACTGCCTCCCTTGAGGTACTTATATACACTGATCAGATCCCCTCTCAGCCTTCTCTTCTCCAGGCTGAACAGGCCCAGCTCCCTCAG